GGCATAAATAGGTTTGGGGGAAAAAATGTCCTTTGGTAAGCATTTAATTCAAGTAGCAGGAACATACAAGTGTGACCATTACAGCGAGCAGCCTACCAACCTGGTGTTGAGTGAGTCTTCACAGTGATCAATCTGTGTTCAACAGAGAGTGGAAAGTCACTTAATCTGGCAAGTCATTTAATGGTAGTAGGTTGGTTGAAAGAGTTTCTGTGGCATATAGTCAAGTCTTACTTCCTATTTCAGAGCACTTGCCTTTTTATTTGCCTACTACTTTAGACAACTTTTCATTTTCTATTCTTATTCTAAGTGACTTAGAAAGTTAATATGGTATTAAGATTTATGATCACTTTTTTTTTTTTTTTGAGACAGACTCTCACTCCGTTGTCCAGGCCGTGGCTTTAGTTTAGTTTATAACAACAACCTCAAACTCCTAGTTTCAAGCAATCCTCCTACCTCAGCCTCCCCAGCAGCTACAGGTGCCCACCACCACCTCCGGCTAGTTTTTCTGTTTTTAGTAGAGTAGTAGAGATGGAGGCTCATTCTTCCTTAGGCTGGTCTTGAACTCCTGAGCTCAAGGGATGCTCACGCCTTGACATCCCAGAATGCTAGGATTACAGGGGTGAGCCACTGTGCCCAGCCTCCTGATCATATATATATATATATATATATATTTTTTTTTTTTTTTTTTAGAAAGAGAGTCTCACTTTATTGCCCTCAGTTGAGTACTGTGGTGTCACAGCTCATAGCAACCTCCAACTCCTGGGCTTAGATGATTCTCTTGCCTCAGCCTCCCAAGTAGCTGGGACTACAAGAGCCCACCACAACACCCGGCTATTTTTTGTTGCAGTTCAGCTGGGGCCAGGTTCAAATCCTCCACCCTTGGTATATGGCGCCAGCGCCCTACCCACTGAGCCACAGGCACCACCCCCCTCATGATCATTTTTTAAGGCTAACTGAAATTATGATTTGTGATTAAAAAAATATTTTTAAAAAATCTTTGTAAAAATTTTTTAAAGTAACTTGTAAAGGACCAAGTACAGTGGCTCACACCTCTAATCCTAGCCTGTAATCCTAGCCCTCTGGGACGCCAATGCAGGTGGATTGTGTGAGCTCAGAAATTCTAGACCAGCCTGAGCCAGAACTAGACCTCATCTGTAAAAATAGCCAGGCTTTGTGGCGGGCACCTGTAGTTCCAGCTACTGGGGAGCAAGGCAAGAGAATCGCTTGCACCTAAGAGTTGGAAGTTGCTGTGAGCTGTGACACTACGGCACTCTAGGTGTCAAAGTGACACTCTGTCTCAAAAAAATAAATAAATATGGGGTGGCACCTGTGGCTCAGTGAGTAGGGTGCCGGCCCCATGTACTGACGATGGCGGGTTCAAACCCGGCCCTGGCTAAACTGCAACAAAAAAATAGCCAGGCATTGTGGCGGGCGCCTGTAGTCCCAGCTACTCAGGAGGCTGAGGCAAGAGGATCTCCTAAGCCCAAGAGCTGGAGGTTGCTGTAAGCTGTGATGCCATGG